ACGTAGTTTGACCGTTGTTTCGTCCATAAAGTTTTTAGGCAATTGATGGGACGTTTATTGAGTTCATTATCCAGTTTGTAATACTTGACATCGAAAAGTTTTCCTTCAGATATGCAGCGTTGCCGGGGCATCTGTTAATCTACTCCTAAATCTCCTGAGAAAAATAGGACCTCAAAAATTAGAGAACAATCGATCTTGCCATAAACAGCAGCTTGCGGATCTGAACACGTCGAAACGGCGATTTAGGAAGCTACGGATGTTGTGCTCTGCTGCTATCTCGTCTACCGGCTTCGTCGAATGTGGACCAAACATGAACTGGTGCTAAACGCTGTTTAGGCACGCATGTCTCCCCGTGCTAACTTGATCTTTTAGTCTTCAAGGCCTTAGTCGAAAATGATGCTATCCTATTAGGTCACTGAGTGGCACAAGTTTCCCGGGTCACCGGTGTAGTCTGCGTAACATTTTTGGTAAGGTAAGGTGAGATCTCTTTATTAAAAGTTTTTGAAAATGCTAATCACTCCTTGCACAGAAGTCTCTAGGCTGTGAGTCCAAAAAAAGGACACGCGATCTCGATCTCATTGCACAGGCAGGACCGCGCCATACCCAAAATCAGTTCTTCATTTGTCGTATGGCTGGAGGAAATGACTAGCAACGTCATAGGTCAAACCAGATAATAGTGCTACCATTACCAGTTCAGACGTTGTTAACGAAAATCATAAAAACCTTCTTTTTCCTGCGTTTCTTTATCTTCATATAGTTATGTTTTTTTATATTTTCTTTACGGGCAGGTTTGTATAAAATTAGGGCTTCGTTCTTAGCGTTAATCTGCAAATATGACACACGAAACAAGCGAGACTGCCGAATTAAATATTGAATATCCAGACAAATCAATGATTACTTCTCAAAGGCACAGATGGAAAACAACCGCACTAACTCAGCAATAACAGCTCTGTGATGCCCTGAGATGTCCAAGACAGCACGCTTGATACACTGATAATTGAGGGGGTTCATTTCTTCATCTGCTGAGACGAAGAAATCGAATAAAATCGTGTCATAATGTAACATACGGATGTGAAAGCTGGAATTCGTAGACCGAGATGATAGGCATGGCGCTTCAGTTGCTCAATGTCCGCTGCATAAAACATTAACAAATCGTTAAATGTTTTGGAAGAAGAAAGTATTAAACAACATTAACAATTGTTGATGTCATTCATAGATGTGTTGTTAATGTCATTTACAAAAAGCGGTATCAAAAACCCCCACTCTAAGAAGCCCCCAGAACATTGGAGTTGTTTTATTTTGAAAACATTTAAACGATTGGTGTCTTGGTTCCCAAAATACGATCAGCTTGAAACTGAACGGCCGGATAAACGGCCGGTGGACACGGGGCAGATCTGGAATTACATAACCTGACCACTTGAGCATGAAACTTAATCCAAGCTGCGATGGCTTGAGCACGTTCTTTAAATGCCTGGAGTAAGGAAAGCAAAAAGGCTGGTACTTCCTCAGTCGGCCGGCCGGCTGAAGATGCCATTCCAGACCGAAGATGCCGAGGGCAAACGACTCGACGAAGGTTCTTCTTCGGACTGTGGGTATCTTTGCTAAACGACTTGTATCAAACGTTGGCACTGGATCGGGAACGTTGGCAAGGATGGGTGGTCATCAAAACCAATTGACTGACTGACCGCTTGAGCAGTGCTGCCGTTTAGCTCATGCACTTGATGCACCGCCCAACTCAGCGTTCGTCCAAGAAAACAGCTCGAAAGAAATATTTTGATAACACAGCTACGAGATCTGCTCAGATGTGAACGAACCCCTGTTCGCCATGTTAAACACCGAAGCAAACCGACACAGCACTGGCACATGTCACAGCAGTTGTCAGCTGCTGTTACTGAATAAGCTCCCTGTCAGCGTATTAAATGTGCATCACTTGAATTGGCCGGTAGTCGGCGATCAGTCGCGCCTGCCGCAGCACACCGGCCATTCCTCACAGCTGAGGGCGTTCTCCCTCCAAGAATTGCCTTCCAGACTTCTGATACAATCTTACCCCATCGCGGTGGGCGACCAAGCGGCCTGGTCTACCCGCAGTGTACGGTGGACGATCCTCGTTGACCATCTGCCGCCAGAGTGCCGAGCTACGTGCCCGGCCGTTCGCCTTTCCATGGCTATCTCGCTGACGATAGCTGGCGCTCTTCTGCATTCGCATTG